GGTTTGGAAGCCAGGGTTCTGGTTCTTTATGTCTCCACCAAGCTGTTTCTGGCAGCCAGGTAGGGGAGTCAAGGGGCCCAGAGCCTCACCCTAAAGATGTAGAGGGCTTTGCAGAGGGGGGCTGCCCTCTAATTGGCAAGTGGTGACCTCATCCCCCAAGGGACCTCCCCCTAGGCTGAGGGTGATTCATCTCACTGTGTCTCCGGCATTAGCAGCTTCCTTCCTGGCAAGGAGTGGGGGCAGGGACCTGTGAGGCTGAGGCCTGGGCAGCGGAGGGCCACCTCCCTCTTCCCCACACACTACTTGCGGGATCTCCCAGCACATGGCCCGTAGCTGCAGATAACTGTCCTCACACAGGACCCAGGGCTCTGTAGAGCAGCCTCACCCAGGAATAAAAATAGCCCTTGAGGCGAGTATGAGTGAGGTGGGGACCACACCTAAGGGGGGCGGGCCCAGGCACGGCTGGGCACAGGGAGAAGCCCCAAGCATAAAGAAGGGGGAAAGCGGCAGGACGCACAAAGAAGGACGAACAAAGAGGGGGAAGTGGAGAGAAAGGCGGCAGGAAAGTGAAGGGTGGGGAGAATGTGAAAACAAGGAGACACAGATGGAGAGGGAGGTGCAGAGATGAGGTCCAGGATTGGGTAAGAATGCCCTGGAGTGGGGAGGGGAGCAGAGCAGCAACGGTGGAGTCTGCGGTCTGTGTTTTCATATTCTCAAAGGCCAAAGACCACCGCTCTTCATCCACACCCACAGAGAGAGGAGAGAGTTGGGGCGACTCTTTTTCTCCTGTTTCTAAAACCCCCAAACCATGAATGCCCTAACCCAGGCTTCCCCCTCCTTCTGATACCTCTCTCCACCTATCCTTGTGGGAGCCCCAGCTAAACTCGCATCTAGCGACCTCCTTTTTTCTGACTTCTGCAAGTCCCTGGTACCCTTCCGGACCCACCCCATCTCCAGCCCCGCTGCTACAACTCCACTTCCACTCTCTCACTTCCTTCCACCTACCAGTCCTTCCCCATGGATCCCCTCTCGGCCTCCCTTACCACACCCTCTCCCTTGAAATCTACCTTGCCACACACACACACTTGCACATTTCTCCAAGTCTCCCCCCAAGACACTCCTCACTCTGGTCTTCTCATAGGACCACCTGTCCTGATGTTTCCCTCTGACCCTCCAAACCCTGTTGGGTCCCACTGCACCATTCTCCCCCAGTCTTTCCTATCCGACCCTTCCCCCAGCCTCGTCAATATTCTCAACTCCTGGGAACCCTCCTAAGGCTGCTGGAAACTTCTACAAACTTTTCAGGATTGGGCATAGAATTCTCATTACCACCCCCCCACACACAAACACACACACGACAATTGTCTTCCCTTTCCGAAGCCACCCCCCCC